ACATTGTTCCCAGAGCCAGTGCATATCAGAGCTGCAATTTCATTTCCCAGTCTCCAGTTTGCAGTCAGTTTATTACACATGCCCCACTGTCAAGACTGATAGGGCAAAATGACCACTGATTGGGGATCAGTGGAATATGGACAGAATATTTCCCAAGGTCTTTGTGAAGAAGAGTCCCTGTGTTCTATGCGATGAAAATCTAAAGCTCGATAGATAAAAATTGAATGTGTAAGAACCACATGCCTGGAAGGTGCCTCAGCCAGGTTCGCTTCTTAAAGTGAGAGAGGAGAGCATCCCATCAGTTCATATGAAACGGACTTGTTTTGAACATATCCAAAAATAGCCAAGGAAGAAATTATCTTCACTAATAAAATAAGGCAGATATGAAACCTTCACGCTTGAGGGAACGCAAATGATCTTATTATCTGAGTGTCCTGACAGTAATGATAAAAAATTCACTTTTATTTGCATTTTAGAGAAAACATGAAGCAGTTATATTACCCTGTGTTTAACACTTTCTGTATCCTGCAAGTCCAAGTCATGCTGCAAAAGTCCTAAGAGAATGTAAAGATGCTACTTAGAAGAGCAGCAGCCTCTGATCAACTACAGGAAACAACACTCGTATCTACCACCTCCAGGGAGGTGGTTATTGAATAAATAAGCAACATCAACCACTTTGTCCAAAGTCAACAGGTGAGTCAAAAATGGAGGCTGCTTCTGGGTCTGACTCCCCCATGGAAGCTCTTTCCAGGACATTTTGCTGCTTGATAAATGATCACATCCGTATTTAATTCCTTGTCCACTCAGTTCCAAGCTAGCATAGCCAAGTAGAGCATGTTCAGTAAAGGAGAATGCTCATCAAAAGCAACAAATACCCAGTGCCCGTATGAACATGGAGGCACACTGATGGTCAGGGTTGTGGTGGGAGAACCATCTAACTGCCAGATGAAAGTCCCCAACGAATAAATCCTAAAGAGGACATCACAGCCATGTTTCAAGGGGAAAAGCATTTTCATTTTTCAAGTTAGCACGTTACAGCTTCTGGTCAAGGCTGTTAAAATTATTCTGAAATTTTTGTCTCTAACATCATGACAACTTTTACCCACCATGCCTTTTTCCTGGGCTACTTCTGCATTTCCCCCCACATCTCCTCTCTGTCTGGGGCTAGAGAGATGGCTCAGTGGTTAAGAGCACCGACTACTCTTGCAGAGGAGCTGGCTTCGATTCCCAGGACCCACATGGCAGTTAACAACTGTCTGAGACTCCAGTTCCGGGGGATCCAACACCCTCTTCTGATCTCTGTGGGCACTGCACAATATGGGTGCACTTACATGCATGCAAGCAATACACGAATACACAAAAAAATAAAAATAAGAAAAAAAGAAACATGAACACAGTTCCCTTACACACAAACACAAACTCCAGACACATGCACACATACACATATCTAAGTACATCTGCTTACTAGATTTCCACATAAATAAAACTTTTTTGTAACATATATAGTTTTCCAAATTTTCTACCTGAAAGATGAAGAGTACTTCAAAACCAAAGTTTTAAATGCTTATGAGATAGTAACAAAATTTGTTTATATTTTAGTTCTCAAATATTACTACAGAAAAGCAATGTTCTGAGGCTGGAGAGATGGCTCAGCAGTTAAGAGCACTGGCTGCTCTTGCAGAGGACCTAGGTTTGATTCCCAGCACCCATATGGTGGCTAATAACCATCCCTAACTCCAGTTCCGGGGGAATCCAATGCCTTCTTCTGACCTCTGTAGGCACTGCACAACACAGGTGCACTTATATACACATAGGCAACACACTCCTACATATAAAATAAAATATTTTTTAAAAAGCAAAGTTCTTTTCCTATTCTTCACTATAAGGAGTAAATGAAAGAACAACTGAAAAATACTAGAGTTTGAAAAAGTACCACCTACCACAGGCCCAAAAGTCCTGCCCACTATAGACTTTTACAAGAGAACAGTACAAACATGAATGAGAGAGGGTATTAGCTATACAGGCAATAGCACAGTCTGCCCAGGGCTAGAGAGCCAGCTCTGCCATGAAGAGTAAGTTCTGCCCTTGTATAAGACCCAAATTTGGTTCCTAGGACATTGGGTAGCTTACAACTGCCTGTGACTCCAGCTCCAGAGGATATGACGCCCTCTGCTGGCCTCTGCAGGTACCTGCATTCTCATGTATAATATCACACACAGGCACACAAATACACATAATTAAAAATAAATATTTTTCAAAGTTTTTTGTCTTATAAAATATTTTCCATATGTGCATATTACTGTTTATAATACAACAATAATTTCTGAGACCCAAAGAGGAAATATCCCAGCCCAACCAATCAAGTCTTCAATTTCCCATTGGGATTTTTCTCAGTGTTAGTCTACTGAAACATGAAAGTTTTCTCCTTTAATTTGATGATCTCTGCTGTCTGGGAGTGGCCAACTCATTTCTAGATTCTTGAAAATAAAACAGCCAGGTGTGGTGGGGTACCTCTATAACCCGAGCACTTGGGAGTTAGAGGCAGGTGGATCAGATCTTCAAGCCTGACGTTAGGGGGGTCTGAAATGAAAATAAAAACAAACTAACCCACAAAACAAAAAAGAAAAGAAAATACACTAAAGAAGAAGAAATAGGAGGAAGAAAAAAAATTTAATTTCTAAAATGTTATGAAAACATCAAATTGATTGTCCAAAAAAATGAATTTTAGACAAGGGTTGGGCTCTGTTTAAAATGAAGTAAACTGGTTAATTTGAAGAATTTCTGTCATCTAGTCACACGAGATATGGTCTGAGGTAACGTTCAGAACTTCTGATTTTAATATTTTTTACTATCTTTAAATCAAATATTTCCTGTAAGAAGAATCATCAACTTTAACAAATGTTTTATTTTAAGCATCTTAAGTTGGTTCTAGGAGGCGCAATATAGTTTTAAGACACACAGAGAAGGGCATGAGTTTCTTTCTTTTCTTTTTCTTTTTTTTTTTTTTTTTTTTTAGTGTTTTTGAGACAGGGTCTCCCTGTAACACCAGCTGGCCTGGAATTCACTATGTAGACCAGACTGGCCTTGAACTCACAGAGATCCACCTGCCTCTGCCTCCCAAGTGCTGGGATAAAAGGCATGCACCATCATGCCCAGCTACTTTCCTTTCTTAATAAAATATTTTCCTTAATTATTGGAAAATGTCATACAATGTATTTTGATCATATTCACTTCCACTTTTCCTAACTCCTCCCAGATCAACCCCCACCTCCCTACCTCCCAACAACCCCCTCAACTTTGTGTCCTCTTGTCTATCATCTATCTGATCTATCTATCATCTATCACCTATCTATCCTCTATCTATCTATCATCTATCTATCTATCTATCTATCCTCTATCTATCTATCTATCTATCATCTATCTATCCTCTATCTATCTATCATCTATCTATCTATCTATCTATCTATCATCTATCTATCTATCCTCTATCTATCTATCTATCATCTATCTATCTATCATCTATCTATCTATTTATCTATCTTGATAACCCATCAAGTCCAGTTTGTGCTCCCCATATACTTCTGAGTATAGGGCCATCTACTGGGGTGTGGTTGACCTACCAGGGGCCACACTCTTAAAGAAAACTAACTCTCCCTCAAAAGCCATCAAATTGCATAGGTCCTCAATTAGGGGTGACGGCTGATGAGCCCCGCCCCTCTCTGTGTTAGAATGCTGACTGGCTTGATGGGTTTGTGTTTCTTAAAACTTAAATAATTAGAATTTTTTTAAATATAAAAGATGTCTGTTGTACTTCAGAAAACAAAGTTTAAACTCTTGGGGAGGATGGGGAGGTGGCACAGCAAAATGAGACATTGACCAGAGTGACCTCTTTGTAGGTTGTGATCCACCCAATTAATACCACACTCTCTTGGCTCCCATACTGGCCTCCAACAACAGCAAGGGGAAGCCCTCCAGTGCTCATTGGGTAGCAACAATCAAGTTTTAGACTCAAGCACTTCTTATATTAGTGTCATTCCTTACACAGTGAGCAGAATAAATGCAACTCAATTACCTGCAACTTGAGCGTCAGTGGCCCACTTAGGCATGATTTAAAATATTAGTTCACAGGACTGGAGAGATGGCTCAATAGTTAAGAGCACTGGCTACTTTTACAAAGGACCCGGGTTTGATTCCCAGCCCCCACATGGTGGCTAACAACCATCCATAATTCCAGTTCCAGGGGAATCTGACACCTTCTGACCTCTGCAGGCACAACACAGGTGCACATACATACAAGCAGGAAATACACTCATACACATAAAATAAAAATAACAAAATTTAAAACAATAAAATATTTAAAATAGTAGTTTACATAAAGTAACATACATCAGATAACAACTTGGATGCTTTCCAAAAAACTAGAGGCTGGCTTCTCCTTAGCTCAATCCAGTCAATGGTACAGTTTGCCAAGTTCAACTTATTTGTCATATGTAATCAAACTGAGTAATGAAAATTTATACTGTATTTGTGAAACATTAGACTCCTCCCCAGGAGTAAGGAACCACTGAGTGTGTGAACATCCGGCAGTCATCCTGGCATGATAAGATCACAGCTCATGAACATCCCAAAGCATGCTTCCGGATCCATCTTCCGTGTGACTCTCTATGATCTCAGCCTGGAGGAGATAAACAAAAGCTGGACAAGCAGTCATGGAAAGCCATGGAACTCACCTCCCTGCCTCAAAAGTGAACCACGTGGTGTCACGTCCATACCGCCGCAGGGCGCTTAGTTGTATTTGTGAAACATTAGACTCCTCCCCAGGAGTAAGGAACTACTGAATGTGTGAACATCCTGCAGTCATCCTGGCATGATAAGATCACAGCTCATGAACATCCCAAAGCATACTTCCGGATCCATCTTCCGTGTGACTCTCTATGATCTCAGCCTGGAGGAGATAAACAAAAGCTGGACAAGCAGTCATGGAAAGCCATGGAACTCACCTCCCTGCCTCAAAAGTGAACCACGTGGTGTCACGTCCATACCGCCGCAGGGCGCTTAGCGGCCAAGAGATGAGTTTGACTCTGGGATTCTGGATGTCCCAAAGACAGATATACTCATATGTAATCTGCAAGGCACATTCGCCATGTACATCTAAGTTAGGAGATGGCATCAAATACACATTGAATCTCTCTGGGAGAAAAACAAAAGGTTAGTCTAAAATCCCCAGGAATACAACATCAAAGACATTGTAGGAACACAGAAGCATTTCAAATATTTCAAGATCACATTCTAGGGTGTGGTTGAATATTCAGGAAGATAAAAGTT